TTTTTAGGTGACGAATTAATGAGGACTTTCAGGTGGGAGAACGAGATGAACACGTACACCCAGAACTTTAAACATCCTCTACTGAATATATCATCTACCAGCGATGGGATTGTTTCGAAAGAGGTTCGCGTTTTCAATGATCTCTGCTAGCCTCTCCTCTTCCTCCAAAATCTCGGCTAGCCTGCGCTTTCCAGGTTCGTCGCAACGGTTTTTCCTGTGTCCCCTACTTCAACATCTCCATCGTCATCGTCGTGCTGTTCATTTTCGCGACAAATTGGTTAGTTAAAGTATCTTAGTTCTAAAAATCATTTTTGTTAAATTTCTTAAGGTGTAATGAGGTTTTTAGTATATTTTTATTTACACTCGTTTGTCCAGGCGAGAACACTTCACAATCTCTCACAACGCTGTCATGGCTATCTTGGGCATCGCCGGGCCATTAATGGCGATTGGAACAACGTACGAATTTTACAATTGACTCTCTACTGTAGCTTGCAAAATCGGGCTAATTAAAATCTTTTAGATTCGGTCTCCTCCTGCTCATCGGGCTCCCCTTCAACTCGATCACGCTCGTGATGCCGTTCTTAATCATTGGAGTGGGGTAAGCGAAGCCTAAACCTAAGCCTAAGCAAGCTATTTAGATGTGACGACGTGTTCATCATCATCCACGCCCACCGGAAGGCGAATAAGAACTCGTCGTTGGAGGACCAGATGGGTGGGTGTCACTTCCCCTTTAAAAGCATAGGGCAGCCTAGCAGAGATTCTTTGAGGGCAATTATGAACAATTTGTGAATTTACCAAAAATTCTAACTGTCACACTCCCTTTAAAGGCCCAGGGCAAGCTAGCGGAGATCCTTTAGGACGAATTATTTCAGCTCATACCATGGAAGAGGCGGGCCCCTCAATTACCGTAACCTCCGCCACCAACGTCCTGTCGTTTGCCATCGGAATTCTGACGCCAACCCCGGCAATTTCCCTCTTTTGCCTCTACACCTGCGTGGCTGTTTTTATCGATTTTATCTATCAGGTAGTTTTGATTGGATGCTAATTAGCATAAATATAACTGAAAATTTAATAAAAATATACTGAATTTAATAAGCCAATTTTTAGCTAACCTTCTTCGTGGCGGCCATGGTTTACGAAGAAAAGCGGCAAGCCGCCCAGAAAGTGCGCCAAAGCCAGAAGCAGCAAAAATACGAGGTGGCCGCGATACAGTAAGTAGACTTAATTTAATTTATTTAATTATATTTCTATTATTAATTTTTACTACATTATTATAAGTTTATGACTTTAATTTAGGGACTAAATTTATTAATTGAATTTTCAATTATCCCCAAAATTCAGAAGCGCAAACGAGGAGCAGAGCGTAGCCGAGCGGACGGTCCAGATGAAGAAGCACCATAACGGGATCGTCAGCAAGTATTGCCGTGTACTCAATTGGTGGCAGGTGCGTGGCTTTAAAGGGCAATTGAAGGCAAATCTATTGATTTCTAGACGCGACTGGCCCTGTTGCTGGTGTTGTTCTGCTACTGGTATGTCTCGTACAAGGGATGCGCTTCGATGGAGATAAAGGTAAGAGAGAGAGCGCGAGAGAAAGAGAGAAAGATCGAGTGCCTGCAAGAAACCAGCCTCCATTTCTAGATGGACACCGCCAACCTGGTCCCCAAAGACTCGCGCCTCATCGGCATCAAGTACATCTACGAGCAGTTTGTGTGGCGCGAGGGCCAGCTGGTAGATTTTTGAAGGGGTCGCTAACCTAGAAAATCAGATTTCGATGTCATAACTGGCTAGAACTTATTGGAGGGAATGTGCCGGCAAAAATTCTCTTAGATCTTGGTGTTCGTCAACGCTCCGCCGGACGTCACCACCGAGGACGGGCAGCGCGACATGTTCTCGTTGGTCGACCGCTTCGAGCGATTGCCATTTGCAATGGGGCGGAACTCGACGAGTTTCTGGCTGCGAAGCTTCTTGTCGCAGGTGAGAAGGAGGGCTAGCAGAGATTGTTGAGGAAGAGGAGAGGGCAGGCTAGCAGAGATTGTTGAGGAAGAGGAGAGGGCAGGCTAGCAGAGATTGTTGAGGAAGAGGAGAGGGCAGGCTAGCAGAGATTGTTGAGGAAGAAGAGAGGGCAGGCTAGCAGATATTGTTGAGGAAGAGGAGAGGGCAGGCTAGCAGAGATTGTTGAGGAAGAGGAGAGGGGCAGGCTAGCAGAGATTGTTGAGGAAGAGGAGAGGGCAGGCACAGAGATGTTGAGGAAGAGGAGAGGGCAGGCTAGAGAGATTGTTGAGGAAGAGGAGAGGGCAGGCTAGCAGAGATTGTTGAGGAAGAAGAGGGCAGGCTAGAGAGATTGTTGAGGAAGAGGAGAGGGCAGGCAGCAGAGATGTTGAGGAAGAGGAGAGGGCAGGCTAGCAGAGATTGTTGAGGAAGAGGAGAGGGCAGGCTAGCAGAGATTGTTGAGGAAGAAGAGAGGGCAGGCTAGCAGATATTGTTGAGGAAGAGGAGAGGGCAGGCTAGCAGAGATTGTTGAGGAAGAGGAGAGGGCAGGCTAGCAGAGATTGTTGAGGAAGAGGAGAGGGCAGGCTAGCAGAGATTGTTGAGGAAGAGGAGAGGGCAGGCTAGCAGAGATTGTTGAGGAAGAGGAGAGGGCAGGCTAGCAGAGTTCATTTGTTTTTCAGAGCACCCTCTACGTCAACAGCAACCAAACGTTCTACAACCTGCTCAACAGCTGGATGCAGGACCCGGAGAATGGAGGGTCACGCTGGAACGACATGGTGCGTCTGCGAAGACAGGGACAAGACGTCGTCGGTGTCCAGGTCAGTACTTTTCAGTTTGAAGAGTTTTTCAACCCAAAAATTGTATCCAGTTACCTCTACGTTTCAGAAGTTCATGTTCGCCACCGGGTACAGCCTGGGCGAGCTGGCCGGCTGGGGAGCACGCTCCCAAATCCAGGCCGTCTGGCGGAACGTCGTGAAGGAGTACGCCGCCTACAACGTCACCATATTCCAGGTGAGCTACTTGCCATTCCGCTTATAACATAAAATTTAGCCCTATTCTTTCTACGTCGACCAGCTCGATTCGATCGCTGGAAACACGGCTTCGACGGTGATTGTGGCTGCGTTGACGATGGACCTGGCTTGCTTCTTGATGATTCCGTCGATGAGCAGCATCTTGTCGAGGTAGTTGCCCGTTTAAGCCTAAGCCTAAGCCCAAACCCAAGCCTAATCCTTAGTAACTTTCAGCACCGTCGCCATGATCTCCATCAACATCGGCGTGTTCGGACTGCTGTCGATGTGGGGCGTCAACCTGGACCCGATCTCGATGTGCACCACCTTAATGTGGGTTTTCAGCTCCTTTAAAGGGACCGCGAAGTCAAAAATTACAATGGAGTGCGCTCAGAATTTTAAACCATTTTCATATCGTAACCAATTCAGGTCGATCGGGTTCTCCGTCGATTTCACAGCCCACATCAGCTACCACTACTATCGTAACCCGATCTCTTGGACTACCGATGAGCGGCTGGCGGATGCCTTAAGGTCAGTGAGAATTCCGCGACGTCTCTGCTAGCCTGCCCTCTCCTCTTCCTCAACAATCTCTGCTAGCCTGCCCTCTCCTCTTCCTCAACAATCCCTGCTAGCCTGCCCTCTCCTATTTCCCAACAATCTCTGCTAGCCTGCCCTCTCCTCTTCCTCAACAATCCCTGCTAGCCTGCCCTCTCCTCTTCCTCAACAATCTCTACTAGCCTGTCCTCTCCTCTTCCTCAACAATCTCTGCTAGCCTGCCCTCTCTTATTCCTCAACAATCTATGCTAGCCTGCCCTCTCCTCTTCCTCAACAATCTCTGCTAGCCTGCCCATTTCAGGAATATCGGATGGCCAATGCTGCAAGCCGGTTTTTCGACGATTCTCTGCGTTTCCCCGCTGCTGATCGTCGATTCCTACATGGTAAGTGGCGCTCCTTCCATAAATTTGATGAAATTTAGTGTAATAATTTTAAAAAATCATACTTAACTTTATATCATTTAGCAATTTTAATAATGCAGATTCTCGTCTTCTGGAAGACCATCTTCCTGGTGACAGCGCTCGGCCTGGCGCACGGCATCATTTTCCTCCCGGCCTTGCTGCTTACGGTAAGAAATTTGTAAATTTTTGCCCTTAATTTGCATCTTTTCAGGTGGGTCGTGCTCAACAGCAACCGAGCAAGAAGATCTCAGAGGCTGGAGCCAGCGATAAAACAATTTCCGATCAAAAAGCTCCGATCGAATTCGCGCAAATCACGCAGGTTGAGGAGCAGCCAAAGGTGAGCCTTAGAAAAATAATGGAAAGCTCATTTATTTCTCGAGAAGTCATTAATTACCTTGAAAAAAATTATAATTAGTAGAATTTTATATATTAATATTCAGAACCAATTTAGGGTATGCAAAATGGGTAAAAAAAGCTCAAACCTCTAGAAAATTCAGGTTTTTGCCAATTTTAAAGAATTTTAGGGTATAAAATCGAATTTTTCGGCGTGAAGACCTTATGCAAATTATGTTATTTGCATCTTTAAGTTACCTATGTTTTAGAAAATCGACGAAACCCCACGGCCAACGCGGAATAGCGGATAGACGCGCAGCTCTTTCTTGCCGACCTTTCGGACCTCGGTGCTCCCCCTATTTTCTAGTCATTTTGCATATTTTTGTGTGTTTTGTAAAACCTAATTTATTGGTTTAAGAACTTATTTGCATTACTGTGATAATTTATTCATATCTTTTTTGATTCCGTTTTTTCCACCTTACGGGTACCCCATTTCTAGCCTACCATTTCGTCAAAAATTCCCAGTTTGCTCAAAAATTATCAAAACCATTTGCTCGGTGTATTTTTATGTTTTTTTTTTTATAATTTTATGCTGTATTTTTGTATTATAGGCGAAGATATAAATGATCTTACTGAAATCCCACGAAACGAGCCTTGAAACTTTTATACAACGCCAAGAATCGACAATAAAGCGGAAAGGTCATGAAGGCTGTTATTCCATGTCGCCGCCGCTGTGGACGATCAACGTCACGATCGAGTTCGACTTGTCGTCGTCGCCATCTCCTGAGGAACCCTCAGAAGATGCGGATTCCGAGCTGCCATTCGGGTCCTTGGCACCCGCCTGAAAAACAAGGCAGGCTAGCAGAGATGGTTCGTAGCTTACCGGATCGTGGTAAGTGCCGGCGTCAGCGAGCTGTACGTTCGAAATCACGAGCTCATCTCCCTCCCAAACGGTCTCGGAACCGACTTCGTCGATTGGCAGCGTGCCGTTCTAAATCGATCAAATAATCTCTGCTAGCCCGTCATCTCCTCAACAATCTTTGCTAGCCTGCCGTTCCTCCATAAAACACCTACCTCCCTAACAACCCATTTTCCGCAGTTCTCACCGTCGCTCTCGTCCTTTTTGCATTTTCTAAAAAAATCGTATTTTCAGTCACCCGAATTTCCTTACGTAATCGTTTCATTTCCCATCACACTCTCGCGCTCAAAAACATCGCCGGCAGGTATAAAGCGGACGGTTTCGCCCTCCTCAAAAATGGAGCATTAGAAATCGACGGGTAATTAGGGCCTGGTCTCAGCTTCCATTAAACTTACAAAAACATCAGCTCGGGACGTAGCAGCTTGCAGGGAGCCGATGAGGGCCGCGGCAAGGATAAGGTGCTTCATCTGGAGATGCGATTCAGAAGATGGAATTTTGAAAATTCCGCCACATTGGAGAAAAGGGAACCTCTATGCCTACGCATAAGCATAAGACTAAACCTAAGCCTAAGTCTAAATCTAAGGCCAAGCCCAAGCCCAAGCCTACGCCTAACCTTTAATCGAGTTTCTTAACTCCCCCCGCTAAGTAGCAACCAGCAGGCTAGCAGAGATTCTTGAGGAACCACAGGTTTTTGGGTCTCTTCAGGAAATTGAACCATCGTGTCCTTAAAGATCTTTGCTAGTCCCCCGACCGTTGATAGATTTATGACTTCGATGGTCCTTTAAAGAAGTGGAATTGACTGCCTATCAGTGGTCGCTACGCAACATAGGTACCAGCGGGTCTCCCAAACCTCGTACAAAACAGAAAACAAACTTTTGAGGAACACAAGAGTGAGCAGCTCAATATTTCCCGCCTGTGGGGGCAATATTTATATGCCAAAAGCGACCAAAAAAAGGGGTCTAATCCTGGCTGGGGTTCGGGAGGTTCGGAGTGTGACCTTGGGAAGAGAGTCTCGATCGCTTCCCAATCCCTTAAACGCTTCAAAGAGCAGCGGAAAAAGAATGAAGAGAAGAGAGCGCTCCTAGAATCCAAGAACTTTCTATCAACAACCTCAAAAATTGTGTTTAGAGCGAGCACAAATGGTCTCTGCTACTTTGCCGAGGAGGTTGAGAGAACTTAGAATCCATATTTTCCTGAGGGGCAGGCTTGCAGAGATTGTTGAGGAAGAGTAGAGGGCAGGCAAACAGAGATTGTTGAGGAAGAGGAGAGGGCAGGCGAGCAGAGATTGTTGAGGAAGAGGAGAGGGCAGGCTAGCAGAGATTGTTGAGGAAGAGGAGAGGGCAGGCTAGCAGAGATTGTTGGGGAAGAGGAGAGGGCAGGCTAGCAGAGATTGTTGAGGAAGGGGAGAGGGCAGGCTAGCAGAGCTTGTTGAGGAAGGGGAGAGGGCAAGCTAGCAGAGATTGTTGAGGAAGAGGAGAGGGCAATCGAGCAGAGATTCTTGTGGAAACCATTTATTCAAATTGCAAACAAAACACAAAATCCAAAGATCACAGAAGATTATGATTGCACAACGGCGATTGGCACATTAATTGGAGCTCCCGGAAGATTATTGCCCACCCTCGTGACGGCTCTGAAAAGTTGATATATGTAAATTTAACAAAACATCAGAAAGAAAAGCAAAATTAGTCAGGCGGGATGTTAAGCAAGGAGTTCAAAAAGGGATTATGTAACGCCAAGACCTCTATAGTCGTTTAAGCTACCTTTTTCACCAGATACTCCCAGATTCGGGGCTGGGTATAGGGTCTAGCTGGCTAGAAAGGATTGATTTTTACAAAAAGACAATGTGAGCTTCCTCAAAAACCTCTGCTAGCCCGCCTACCTTCATGTTTTGGCCGCTGATCTCGCGCTCGATCATCCACGGGTCCGTCATCACCGGGATGTTCGTCTCGTCGGTTGAGAAGCAGGCTTGGGACTGAAAAAGTGGATTTAACATTGGTCCTCCTGTCTCTATGCGAAAGCCTGTCCAAGCCCATCCCGTCACCAACCTCCTTTGATGGTCCCTCGCATCGGATGTTGCGCGCCGCTCTCCTAGAAACGCACACACGCATCCGGACGCGTTCACCATCCTTGCATGCTAACCATGAGCCCCACTCGAGGTACTCGCCGAGCACGACTGAAAACTGGGAGATGAACAAGAGTAAAGAATCTCTGCTAGACTGCCCTTTACCTTCGAATGGTCTAGGGATGCGCCAGATTACAACCCTAACAAAAAAGGAGCCTAATCTAATCCTGCTGCTTGTTTTTCGACTCCCCAAAATCTCGATGCGAACAAGTTCAAGCGCATAAATTACCCAAGCCTCCCAGCGTTATCTGCCAAATCTTGTACCCTGCGGCCCCCACTTCCCCCGTGTGTTACAGCGTTCCCGAGATCGTTTTGTTATTCTGGAACATCGAAACCACACAAAAAACGACAACAAGCGCTAATGATTTCTGAAAGGCACCAGACTTCCGAGTTTTTCTAAATAACACCTGGTGGGTAATTATTTTCCGGCTGGGTCTACGACTGGATGGGATATTTTTTGCGGACTGCTCGTTTCTTGAGCAATCTCTGCTAGCCTGCCCTCTCCTCTTCCTCAACAATCTCTGCTAGCCTGCCCTCTCCTCTTCCTCAACAATCTCTGCTAGCCTGCCCTCTCCTCTTCCTCAACAATCTCTGCTAGCCAGCCTTCCTGTTTTGCGCACTAATGACATACCCCCTAGGAAGTCGTTAGCTTATGCAGTGCTCGCTCTTTTCATGCCATTCTCTTCCCTGCCACTTCCTGCCAGAGTTTGAGGTGTCGAGTATGCGAGTCCATTGTTTTCGCTCGCACTGCTTCGTGTCCAGCTGGCTATTCGAGCTTTTCACGCCCCCCCCCTCCCCAAAGGCATTAACTCCATGTCCCCAGGCCAAGGCCGTCTGTTTGTGTACGCGCGGCTCCGGTTTCAGATTCAAAATGGCAAAATAATTTTCGGAAGATTCTAGTCAATTTTTGACCAAAGCCTACGCTAAACCTAAGCTCAAGCCTACGCCTATGCCTAAGCTAAGCTGAAGCCTAAGCCTAAGCCTAGGCCTAAGCCTAAGCCTAAGACTAAGGCTAATCCGTTCTTCTGATATATATCTCTGTCTGTCTGCAGTGTGAGTGTATGTATCGGCATGGCTAAGGGGGGTATCCCCCCTTTGCCCGACCCGGCTTCTCGCACAACAATACGCAGAGAATTGAGGCCGGCTGCGGTTTGGGGGTGGGGGATGAGGAGGAGCAGGGAGAAGCTCCTCTACCCCCTTTCAGCGCGCCGTTTTTATGTACGAAAACACATACACACCACATACACACTCCTGACAATCTGCCAGCGCAGCCCTGGGCCTTTTACTGGTTTCGTGGGTGGGGCGATTTTGTTGTTTTTAAAGGTACCGGCAAGCCTACAGCCGCTCTGAATCTCTCTCTCTCTCTCTCTCTCTCTATCTATCTCTCTCGCTGACCATCCATCCCTCTCTAATTTCTGATTTCACGAAAAATCCACAACCCAATTTGCATGCCGTCAAATTCAAGGAGTCGCCCGGCGGGGCTGAAGGGCCCCGCTCCGCGTGTGTGAGGAGGATTTTGACGAGGCGCCCAGCCAGGCTTGGCCCCGAAATTCTAATCAAATTAGATATGTGAGGCGCCCAGTGGGTCTCTCTCTCTCTCTCGTGCTCATGTTCGAATACACCCCCTAGAATATACGTCCCATCTCTCCCGTTTTTTTTTCCGGCCAATCCAGATGTCATCTCCGGACCCTCCGGATTCGGCCGCTAATCGACCGGGAATGCAAATTGCGCCCTCGCACCTCTCTTAAATCCCCAAATTTTTCTGCTAGTTGCCTGGCCGACCATTCTAATGATGCTCATTTTAACTGAAGAATTTAATTTGCCTTAACTTCAGCTACAGTTAGTAAAATTAAATTTTTCGAGATATAGACATTTTTCGACAATTTTTACACCTTTTAGAGATGCTAAATGGAATAAATTCCGTGATGAAAGAATAGTTTCAGATTGACATATTCTGAATTAAGTTAAAGGGTAAAAAGGTGAATTTTCAGTCGACCAGGATATATAACACCAAAGCCAGTATATTTTATGCAAATTAGCCTAATTACTTAGTGACCCTGGAGTTGGGGTGGTGGAGAAGATATGCAGGAGTCGTGGTGAATGATTCAACGGATGCGTCCGACTAGGCCATTAGGGCTTGTTCTCTCTCTCTCCCTCTCTCTCTCTCTCTCTCTCTCTCTCTCTCCTTCTCTTTCTCGGCTTTCATATTTTGATATTGGCTTCTTTGGATTGGATTGCCTGGATTACTGCCTCTAGAAGCTTCTTAAACCTGGCAGGAAGCCAAAAGTTAAAATTCAAAATTCTGTAACTTCCAACTCTTCTCAAGTGGAGAATCTTAGGAAATTTAAAGAACTTGAAAGCTGTGGATCAGGCTTCTAGGTACCTTTAAAACGCAGGAAAGGCAGCCCGTAATTTTTTTGTCTTTATTTATGCTACTTATCCAAATCTCAGACGTTTTTCCCGGATGGCACATCCGGGTGCCAATTCGATCCCATCGGCCTTTAGGAAAAGTACACCCCAAAAAGCGCAGGATTTCCAATTAGGCGCTAGCGCTTTGCGTCGCTATTTTTGTCAAAAATTCCGATTTTTTTGCATATTCAAAGCCTAAGCCTCGTCTAAGTCTAAGCCTAAGCCTAAGCCTATGCCTGAGCCCAAGCCCAAGCCTAAGCCTAGCAACCCAAAAAATCACCTCCATTCTCGGCAGCCGGCGCGTTCTCCCCGGCCTCCAACTGTTCCACGGCGTTTCCGAGCAGGTCAGAATCGTCGGATCCTAAAAGTGGATCGATTACCGTAATCTGAACGAAGCTTACCTGTATTCAAGATGTTCCTAACGCCATTGGCCTTCACGCGAGGTCGGCGCGGGATTTGGACCTTGGCAAAGTCGACGCCTAAATTTTCGGTGGCTGAATCTCGTTAGCATTCATCAGTTATATCAGCAGCGAATGTAGTATTTTGTAGTTAGTTTAGTTAGGCCTAGTCATCTTTCTCTCTCTCTCTCTCTCTCTCTCTCGCTCTCTCTCTCTCTTTCGCTCTCCTTTTATCTCTCAACACAAACGAAGCCACTTAAGTAAAGATGAAGCACGGAACCAGGCTATTTTCAGCTGCTAAAAAGTGTTGCTTCCATCGGCTTATGTACCTCGTTAAGAGGAATTCTTAGAAATGACTCTTAGCTATTTTCAACCAACTTTAGGTTGCATACTGTAAGGGTGTGTCTAGATACAGCAAGTAGGCCTCAAACTATCGTGCAAACCTTTCGCGACACCCGCCGTTGCCAGGGGGTTGTAGCTTTCAATCAAATCGAATCGGGTCTGGTCGTAGGGGCCGAGGTGGAGACCTTCCTAAAAAGAGAAGTTTGATTTGTAACCTAAGCCTAAGCCTAAGTATGAGCCTAAGCCCAAGCCCGGATCGTCCGATCACTTACCTTGGATGGATCAGTCAAGATTTGGACGTGAACCGGGGAGGGGGCTGTAAAAAGCAATGTTTTCGACAAAAGTCGATTAAGTACCTGATTTAACGATTCCAATTAATAATAGAAGGGCTGGGAGGGCGGCTGTCATTTTCTGAAGATTCTAAAAGCCATGAAAAGCATACATAGTCTTCAAATAATGTAACAGATTGATGAAGGAGCTATAGACTACCCAAATCCTTGACGATATATAAAAATCGCGACAGTGATCGGGTAATTTGAATAGATTTAATGGCCAGACAGTACAACCCGGGCCGGACTGCTCGATATATTTCGTATCCAAGAGGCTAGATTAGATCTGATAAAAGGTGGGGTATCGCCGCCACCGGCCTTGCCAAATTGGGTGACCGAGCTAGGCGGTGTTTATGCAAATCACCCACCCACATCGGGGACTCAAATTGCATACAGTTAGCTGTCTTGATAACGGATTTAAAGAATTCAAGTACGAGGCGAGAGCGAGAGGGAGAGAGAGACAGAGTGAGAGAAAGACAGAGAGAGACAGAGACATAAACAGAGACAGATGGGGTGAGAGAATGAGAGAGAAAGAGAAGGAGAGAGAGAGGGAGATAGAGAGAGGGACAGAGAGAGAGAGTGAGAAGTTTTAGGGTTTAAAGGTGGCGTGACTGCACTCTACGGAGCTATTAGCTAGTCGTAGGCTAGTAGTAATCTAGTAGCAGTATATCCTAGTTCAGGGGGCTAGCAGAGTTGCTTTGCGGAAAGCCAAAGCTAATGGAAGAAGCCCAGACGCCATTAGTGGGTGTGCCCTGAGCCGCTAATTCGAGCTTGTTTTTCTGATCCAGTCTGCTGCGCCGCCCCTTTAGAATTCCCTGGAAAAACGCGTTCTTGAGTCATCACCTCCCTTATCTGGTGATGGCATCATCATGCCTTCAGGGCACACGTTTCCAGACAGCCGGTTGGCGATGCGGGGTGTGTTCTGGAATTTTCGCAAATTCCATTCGCGCTATCGTATGAAAGACGGCAAAAAAAGCATAGAGAATATAGAGGAAAAAACGTGGCCTGAAAATACCAAAAACAAACAGAATTTTCTCTGTTAAAGGGGCTAGCACGGCAACCTAGCAGCGATAATTTGGGAATTGTTAGCAGGGATGCCTTAGGAAAACGAGTGCCCTGGAGGCGGCAGGCTAGCAGAGAATCTTTGGGAAGCCAAAGAAGCTTGTTTTCTCCACTGGTTACCCGATTTTATGTATGTTTTTGACCTCCTGACCAGATGCGCCAATTACCGTCACGCCAACTTCCAGTGTTTTCGACGTTTTCGCAACTTTTCCAACCCAGCTTCTCGTCTTCTTTTTCTTTTACTTCTTGTAATTTTTGGGAATTAGTTGTTAATCTTTCAGATTGCTTCCTTTTCCTGTTATTGAAATGAGCACGAATTTTTCCAGGATGAGCTTCGCCCGGAAAAAGCTCGACCTCGAGGAGCAGCTCTCGAATGGGCCGAGGTTGGAACGGTCAGTTTTTTAGTTTCTCTTGCTCTCTTTCTCTCTCTCATCTTTCTCTCACTCACACGCTCTCTCATCCTCACGTTCTTTCTCACCCTCACGCTCGCTCTCTCATGCTCTCTCTCTCTCTCTCTGACTCTACCCCGATGTCGTCTGCCCCTTTCTTCATTTTTCCCCCTCCTCTCGGCTTTTGTCCTTTCTCTCTCTCGCTCTCTCTCTCTCTCTCTCTCTCTCTCTCTCTCAATTCTTATTAACATACCACATACTCCAAAAATCTGCTCTAATAAAAAGAAAATGCTGATCGCGCCCGTTAGTGGCAGTTTTAGCAAGGGGGTGTCCCGCCACGGCAGCCCGAGGCTCAGATTTCAACGGCGAGTCGGGCTTTGGCCGAGATGCTTGACATCCCTTTGGGCGCCCCGGCATTTGACAGCCACCACCACACTGCATGATGCTTTTTCCGGAAAGAAGCCGCCCTGGCAATTAGTCATTTCACACCTATTTACGGATACGGGCTGGCGATTTGCATCGGCGATTTCCTAAATGCTAGTCTACCCTCTCCTATTCCTAAACAATCTCTGCTAGCCTGCCCTCTCCTCTTCCTCAACAATCTCTGCTAGCCTGCCCTCTCCTCTTCCCAACAATCTCTGCTAGCCTGCCCTCTCCTCTTCCCAACAATCTCTGCTAGATGCCCCTCCTCTTCCTCAACAATCTCTGCTAGCCTGCCCTCTCCTCTTCCTCAACAATCTCTGCTAGCCTGCCCTCTCCTCTTCCTCAACAATCTCTGCTAGCCTGCCCTCTCCTCTTCCTCAACAATCTCTGCTAGCCGCCACCCCCGATAACTCACAAGAACTCGCGATTCCCGGCTGTGTCCCGAGCTGGCCCAGATGGTTGCAAAGTGTCACTTTCCACCACCCCCCGGCATGAGGTCATAAGGGGAGGAGATGATGATAGTTGAGTGAAGGTGACACATGGCCCCTTTGGCTTGCGATGGGTTTGCGGTTTGTGTCTCTGATCCGGCACACGCTCCTCCTCGTTTTCTTAAGGCTAATCTTAGCCTACGCCTAAGCCAAGAAAAGCCTAACGTAAGCCGAAGCCTAAGCCGAAGCTTCCCTCCCCTTACGTTAATTGTTTTCAGACAACGCTCGGGGAGGCTAGCACACAAATCTTGGCATGAATTATTCGAAAGTTTTCCCCATTGCATCGGCCAGACTAGGCTCGCATTCCGGCCGGTAAACAGCGGTGTAAGCTTTACAATTTTAGCTCGGAAACGGCCATGCTTAAGCCTAAGCCTAAGCTGAAGCCTGGCCTAAGCCTAATCCTTTCCAAAACCATCTCTTGGTCTCAAAACCCCATCAAATTATGCCAACGCGGGGGCAACGAAACGCAACTCGTTGCATTGAGTAGGGCGCTGTGCAGGATTTTATGTAGATTATACGGATGTATTCCTCGTTCCACATTAGCTTGGAGGAAGTTTCAGCCCGCAGGAATTATTCAGCTTTTTGTTCTTTTAGCCGTAGAGAGCAGGAGGGCTCGGTTTTCATATCTAGCTTCTAAAAACTTCGAAAAACATTGCAAAGCAAATATTGGTAGCGCTTTAAAATATAATTCACAGCGCAAAAAATGCTCTTAAGCTCCCTAAAATTGACATTTCGATGCCTCTCCTCCCTCGTCGGCTTACCACAAAAAAGGGGCCACGACGGAACATTCGTAGTAACCGGGGGAAACGTTTTCGGGCCGGCGGGCCCTTTGGTATGGGGCCCACGCCCCGAATTTCCCTTTTATTCCCCTCGTTTTACGATGTAAGATCGCCCGGGACATTGATGGAATTGCTATCCGATTCTTTATATGTATCCTTGATCGATCTGATAACTGGGGAATTGCGATTTTGGGGCAGGCTAGCAGAGATTGTTGAGGAAGAGGAGAGGGCAGGCTAGCAGAGACCATGTGAGCCCTTTAAAGGGATTAGGAAGGCGAAAAAGTTGTTTTTTTAGCCAACTGGGTGTTTCTGGTTCGGCCGAGTCTCAGTTTTCACTTTGTCTTAGGCTGGGATTAGGCTTAGGCTTCGCCTCAGGCTCAGGCTTAGGCATACGACTGGGTAAGGTTTAGGCTTAGGCTTCGGCTTTGATTAGACTTTGCTTAGGCTTAGGCTAAGGATTTGTTTAGGGTTTGCTTAGTATTTGCCTAGGTTTTTTTGACTTCGGGGTACGGGTAGGCTTAGGTTTGTACTTCCCAGTGCCTTTAAAACCTCGTTTTTTTCTATCCTAGCATCTGCCGCGGCTCCTCTCTTTCCTCATTTGACGGCCCGGCTTGGCCTCCCCGTATGCCGGCGCCACACAAATTACGTTATTATGTTATTCGAGGCTGGTTGTTTGGGTAGGAGAGGAGGAGGATTCTGAATGTGTATTTGTGTGTGGTGCGGTTGAGTTCTATTTTCACCTCCCCGTCCCTTTTTCGAGTCAAGGGATGTCCCCCCGATTGGTGGTGGCCCAGACGGATGGCTACACCACCCCGTAAAAGCCTCGCCAAAATACGACAGCCCGGGGCATCGTGGATGTGCACTAATGAAATTCGGGGCTTTTTGGCGGGCCGCCACCCACACCCTTGGGTGGACATATACGCACACAAATCGCCTTCTTTAAAAAAAAAAAAAAAAAAAAAAAAAAAAAAAAAAATTTAAAAAATAAAAAAATTCCTCAATGGTCTCTGCCAGCCTGCCCTTGATTTGGGCGCTTTGCTCAAAACGTCCCGCTTCCGCAAAAGTCCCTGCTATCCTGCCTTTCACTACCGAATGAAATTTGTTATTCCCAATCGTTTCTGCTAGCCTGCCCTGGGCTTTTTTTCAGCACTTCAGTAATGATCTCTGCTAGCCTGCCCTGCCCCTAAATGATCTCTGCTAGTTTCTAGGAGCCCTAATATATAAAGACCTATAAATCATATTTATTAGTATGATTTATTGGTATTGGTTATTACTATTTATTATTGTTTTTTTAGTATTGGCCCATTGTTATTTTGATGATTTACTGAATGAATGTGATAGTTTTTGATGGTCAGGGCTTCCTGAATTCTCTGTGCTAGCCAACCGGGCTAAACCCAATATTCAAATTAATTTTGAAAATTGCCTTGTCGTAGTGTCTTAGATTAAAATTAATATTCCTTTAAGCTCAAAAGAATGTTCACAAATATTTAAAAGTGTATTACTTAAGTTTTTACACAAAAAATGGCATTCTAGCTACAAAATTCATTTGAAACCGTTTACCACCTTTACCTACAAAAC